CCCGCCCTCCCCCACCAGCACCCTCCTTCCTGCTGCGGCCCCCCACTGCAGGGCCCAGCCTCAGGCCTGTGCCCCCTGCACCGTGCTGCCAATCTCCTCCACCACCAGCTGCCTGGTCCCGAGTCCCAGCCTCTGCCCCTGCGCCCCCCACTTTGAATCTATTCCAGGGGGTGCCCGCAAGGCAGCGCCCATGGGCTGCGCGTATGGGTTAAGGATGACAGGGCACAGACTCGATGTCAGGTTTAAACCCCGCTGGCATGCTGCAGAAATCAGATTCAACATTTCATATTCCTTTAATGACCGCCCTGCCCTTGATCTGCCAGGGCCTCTCTGCGCTCTCACTGCTGCTGCCCCAGGGCAGTCCCGGAGGATGGGCACCCTGCGCCCAGCCCAAGCATCCCAGCCGCCGCTACGGCCCACCTTGATGAGCGACACGCCGATGGCATCCTTGCGCACGTGCTCACGGAGCTGCTCGCAGATGCCGCTCACGAACTGGTGTGGCACCACGAAGATCAGCACCTCAGCCCCCGCCGCCGCCTGCACCAGGTCAGGCACGGCCACCTGCGGCACGGCCCGTGTCAGCCGGAGCAAGCCCATGGCCCTGCACCCCACTGGGGGACTCGTGACATTGAGCACCCCCCCACCCCGACTCAGGCCACTGTGAGGGAGCCAGTGCCTGGTGCCCCACACGGCCAACCCCAAGGGAGCTGGAGGGTGCCCAGGGGACTCACGACGTTGTCAGGCAGGCGGTGGCCCGGCAGGTACTTGACATTTTCGTGCCGGGTGTTGATGATGTCGCTGAGCCGTGCGCCACCCACATCCTCGTCGAAGACCCAGAGGCTCACGGCCGGCTCAAAGTGCTGCAGCCGTGCTGCGTTGCCACCCACGATCTTGGCAATGGCAGAGCCCCTGCAGGGGCATAGGGCCATGGAGGTGTGCAGGGATGGCGGGGGGGGGAATCTGCCCAGGAGGGGGACAGGAAGGACTGGGCGCTCACCAGTTGCCAGAGCCGACGATGCAGACCTTCTTGCCTCCCATGGCCGGAGCGTGCCCTGCGCTACCCTGTGCCTGGCTGCAGCAGCTGCTTTATCCCTGCGCCCGTGGGGGCCGCCCCCTGGACCGCCCTGCAGGGAGGGGAGCAGGGCCAGACCCCCCCCCCGACAGGACATGGCCTTGGGCAGGGCTCTGGTCCTTGCTCCCTGCCCGGCCAGGGGGAGCCTCAGCAGCTCTTTACACTTGTAACCCAAGCAGCCAGGGCCCGAGTGCAGCAGCTGCGCGAGAGGCGAGTCCAAGCTCCCCCCGGAGGCTCCGAGAAGGGAACAGGGGCTGCGGGCAGACAGGAGCCAGGCTCCTCGGGCACGGTCCGTCTCCGGCACCAGGATAATGTTTGCGAACCAGACGAAAGATGAGCATGGAAGAGCAGAGCCGGGGCAGCCAGAGCTCCTTGTAGCCCAGAGCGTGGCAGGTCTTGTGCCCACCTGCCCTCCTACACGGTTACATCACCCCCGCACAAAGGAGGGAGAGCAGCTTCCTTCCTTCGCAGGAGGCTTTTATTACAACTGGGTGACGGCTACGAGGACACGGTACAAAAAAAATTTGGTCCATGAAAAAAACAATGTTCAGTTAATAAAAACAGTAATTTTGCAACAGCTGCACTTGCCTCCGCAGTATCCGGCGCCCTCCATGCGCACGTGCCCAGAGGCACTGCCAGCTGCTGCATCAGCCCTAGTGCCACGGAAGGATACGGGGAAGGGAACAGGGGAGAGGAAGGTCGAGTCTATTACTCACATACACGTAGTTACACAGACACAGGGGCTAGGGCCACCCAGGCTCCCAGACTGGCAGCAGCCTCCCAGCCATGCCAAGGCAGGGTGTGTGCGCAAAAGGGGTGTCAGCATCATGATTCTGCAGCTATCTCCCAGAGTGCGACCGACCTCTGAGTCCACTTGCTTCACTGTCCCATATTCAGATCCAGGTCAAAGAAAGCCACTCCCTTCCACCCCGCCACAGTCCAGAAGGTGAGGCTGAAGCGTGGCACTAATTCATCCCCCCAAAGAGACAGCAGGGCTGTCATGTCCCAAGGGGAGAAAACCTGTTTGCACATTCCTGACTCAGCACCTGCCCTGCACCTAGTGGGCAAGACGCCGCAGGAGACCAGTCTCACCGTGACAGAGACTTCTGCTAGTTATTGGCCCGGGATGTGACTAGGGGCAGTCTGCCCCATCAGACTCCTGGCTCTGCGTGGAGCAGCACGTTTCTCCAACAGGCGGTGGTGCAGGATTCCTGTCTCTGTCAAAGGAGTGACCCTACTGCTCCTGCGAAGCCCAGCTACGCTGTGAGAGCTGTAGCTGCAGCAGGGAGAACAAGTGGCTGCTTCACACCGCACATCAGCAAAACCCTCGGCGTGCAAAGCCACACCTCTCCACTGCTTCTCCATCCCTGGCTGTGCCAACATCATCTTATCCCACAGGCTTGCGGAAGCCTGGTGAGTAACAAGGAGGGAAATGAGACATCCAGGGACGGACATGATCGGAGAAGCTATTCTCTACTTAAGTCCAGAAACCCTTCCTCAAGAGGGCTGTCCTACAAGGAAGCCCAGTACAGGGAGGGAGCACTGTCCACCTGCTTCAGGGCATGTCACAGGCAAAGAAGGGAATGGCTACAGATCTTGTCTGTATGGCAGACGGTATTGCCCTGCCAAGAGGGATTCCAGCCCCATGTTCTCTTGTGTGCAGTAACTAGATCCCAGCTTAGGGGGAAAAGGGCCAGGATGAGTTTCTGAACTCAAGAGAAAGTTGAGTCCACATCCATTCTGGATACCAGGGATATTACAGGCAACCGGTACATAGGGTTTGGCCCTCGGGAGCTCTGGGATTGACCCAGCAAAAGTCAGGAAGGAAACCAAGTAGAAGCGTGCAATCCTCTGAGCTGCCTGCTCGCCACTTCCTCAAAGGGTTCTGGAGCCGCACCGGCAGGGACTGTGCGAGGGTGGGTCGTGGCTGCAGGTCTCTGTGCTGGAGTGGGGTTGTGTGGGCCCTAACAGTGAACTGCAGTGCTGAGTCTCCACAAGTAGCTGCAATGCCTTCTGGTCGACGAGGAGTGGGGCTGCCTATGTGTTACGGATTCCTAGGGCCTGCTCCAGCTCCTGCCGTCTCTGCTGCACCTGTAGAAGCAGCCAAGGTCCCAGCATTAATACATTTGCAGCCCAGGAGAGGCTAGACTGGAGTGGAACTGAACGCACAGCCCAACAGTCAGCACACACCCACTGGGGAGGGACTGCCTCTCCTCGCTGCTGCACTGCACAAAGGGGCTAGGGAGCAAGGAAGCTCCTCCATCCTGGCAAAGCCCAGAGCTAGGGAACAAGCTAGGATTGAAAGCAGAAAAGAACATGGGTGTATTTAGCAAACACAACTGAGAATCGCATGGGGAAAACCTGTCCCACCTCTGCCAGACCTGCCTTGGATCAAAACGAGCGCTAAACCCAACAACAGCTCGGCAGAGATTCTCCAGCTCTGCCGCTTATTTACCAGCATGAAGAGACCACCCACAATGTAGCAGCATCAGGTGAGCAGCAAGTAAGGACTCCACATCCAAGCCACACAGGCCAAGAGTGAGGAAGTATTAAATGCCAGACCAGAGGGGCACTGGAGAGAGATGCATTAATCTTTAAGTGTTCAGCTTTACCAAGCAGGGGCAGGCTCCACCAGCTGGGGTGGGATTTCTGTTTGTGAAAGCTCACCTTGGAGTAGAAGTATCTGCACACAGCTTCCTGAGCCCACGGCTGGAAGTAGAACTCAGCTCTACGCTCCTCTTCTGGATTTCCAACGACGTCGGTCATGGTCTGGGGACAGGAAGGAGAGCAGCTCAGAGCCTGAAAACAGCCTTACATGCGCTGAAATATGCACACTTCCTTCTCTAAGCCCCTACCAATAGGT